GGGGTTCCCTGCAATCCCTTCTCCACTTCCCTATCCTGTGTGCATTGGGGACACACGGGCACGTTTGCCCAGGCCAGGTGGGGTCTGGCTCCCTGTGTCACTAGGCTCAGGGGCCATCCCCTCACGGCTTCCACTAGATGAGAGAGCATTCAGAAGTGCTGACCAAGCAGTCGTGCTAGCGTGTGTGCTGCCGAAGCGAGCACAAAGCAGTCATGATTTTAGAAGCAGTTGCTTTCGGGGGCCAGCAGGTGGCGTGGTGGCTAAGGCACTGGATTCCCACTGCCAACAGCAGTTTGAGTCCCGGGCTAGGCAGCTTGAAAATCATGACAAATGAATAAATAAATGAATAAATGTTTTTTAAAATAGGGGCTAGCAGGTGGCATGGTGGTTAAGCTGCTGGAATTCCCACTTTTGTTCAGTTCAGGAGGAAAGCGCCCCATTTCTGAGTCACTGACACCTCTGAAGACACTGTTTCCTTACATGTGGCGCCCTCTCTCCTCCCACCCCACCCCACCTTACCCTCACTCTGCCTTTACACAGGTCAGATCTGGCAGCTTGCTTTCTCTCTGTCTCTGACTCTCTCTCTCTCTCTGTCTTTCTCTGCCAAAACTCATTAAAAAAATATTTTAAAAAAACCACTTGTCGGGAACCAGCAGTTAGCATAATGGCTATGTCACTGGACTCCCACGTAGTCGACCGCGGTTCGTGTCGCGGACCCGGTGGCTTAAAACTCATGCCGGGGGCGTGTGCGTGCATGCCCAAGATCCCGAGAGGAGAATGGAGGAGAAGGGATTGCGGCGTGACCATCCCCCCTGGGGGGTGATTTCTCGCTTTCTGTCTCTATGTCTCTCTCTGTCTGTCTGGCGAGCGCACGCGCCCTACAGTGAAAATCTCTCAAAAAAAAAAAAAAAACAAACCACTTGTCTTCTGGACTGGTGGCAATTACCTTACATAGTTAAGTAAAATGGATGGAGCTCTCGCTGGTCCACCGGAAGTGGCCCTGCTGAGCTGGAAGGGAATATTACGTCTAGAGGGTGGAGATGGAGCCCACCTGAGCAAGCAGACAGGTGTGCCCTGGGCTGGGGGTGTCCAGTCGATCCTCTGGCTGGCCAGTAATTAGAGCCATAGCCACAGCTCCGGCCACTGCACGATCTGGGGCATGAATGATGCAAATAGGTACCGGACATAGTTTCTAGGACCAGCCGGTAGCGCCGGGTCCCACATGGTTGACTACACAGTTCAAGTCCAGCTCGGGAAACACACCAGGCACGTGTGTGCACCCAAAATCCCGAGAGGAGAACGTAGAGGGTGTGGCCATCCATGTTGGGGGGTGCTTTCTTATCCCCCCAACTGTCTCCCTCTGGCAAGCACTTATGCTGTCTACCAAAACCAAACCAAAAAAAGGAAACAGGTTCTGGCAGTGCTTAGCGCTGAGAAAAAACCACAGGCGGATGCAACAGAGGATCAGGAAGCTTCAGGTTGGTCTGAGGACAAAGAGGTCTCTGAGGACGGGAGACAGCAGTGGCCTGAAGCAGCTGCAGGCACCCTCTATGGGAGCCGGGTCTGAGCCGCCCGGTGCAGGAAGGCGCAAAGGCCGGGGCAGCTGCGCTCGGTGTGAGACTCACAAGAGCGCGCAAGGGGGTGGCAGGAGGTGTTGGGAATCCCAGAGACGGTGAAGGGAGGGGTGACACCTGACCTTCTGTGTAAAGGCAGAGTGAGGGTGGGGTGGGGTGGGAGGAGAGAGGGCACCACATGTAAGAAAACGGTGTCTCCAGAGGTGACAGCGACTCAGAAATGGGGCGCTTTCCTCCTGAACTGAGCAAAATGAAGCCCTCAGCTGACACTTAATGTCCCACACCAGTGGGACCTGAGCTTCCAGCCCCGGCTCTGCTCTCCAGCACCCACCCCTCGAGCCCTGGCCTTGTGGGTCCCCAAGGCCGCAGAGCACAGGTTTGGGGCCAAGAGCAGCAGGCAGTGGGGGCACAGCCTTGGGCAGGCCCACCCTCCTTGGGCCTTGCCTGCCTTTAGGACAACAGCGAACAGCAGACCAGCAGATGGATGGACAGGCAGGTACAGACAGACAGATGCTGCTCCCTCTTGGGCGAGGCATCCCCTGGGGCCAGGCAGCCCCACAGCACTGGGGACCACCCACCCGGCACGCTCCTCCCTGCTCTTCCCACCCCACCTCTCCAGCTGGGTTGGCCTAACATGGCTTCCATAATCGTGGGTCTCCTCCTCCCACCCTCACTTCATTTCACCAAGCAGCGGCCCAGAGCTTTCAGGGTAAAACCCTGGCAACTTCTCCCAGGGCACCCTCTATGGGAGCCGGGTCTGAGCCGCCCGGTGCGTGGGGAAGGGTCCTGTAAGGATTCTGGAGGAATTGGGGCTATGAACAGCAAAATCTCTTCGCGGCTGCCCAGCTCCTGTTACGCCCTTTGCAATCTGTCTGCAGAGACAGAGCAGGGCCAGCCCGATGGCTTAGCCACGACCAATTTACCTGTACCAAGGCGCTTTGGCTTATTTTTTTTAGAGGTTTTTACTATAGGGCACGTGTGCTCGCTGGAGAGACAGGGAGAGATAAAGAGTGAGAAAGTGAGACATCACCCCCCAGGGGGGATGGCCATGCCACAGTCACTTTTCCTCCATTCTCCTCTTGGGATTTGGGCACTCACGCACATAAGCCCAGAACAAGTTTGAAGCCACTGGATCCGGGATGCGAACTGCGGTTGGCCATGTGGGAGTCCAGTGACGTAACCATTACACCATCTGCTGGTCTTGTTTTTGCTTCTTATAATTCACTTTTGGTGACTTTGGGTTTGGATTTCTTATTTGGGGTGTATATGTGTGTGCGCATTTTTAAGAGATTTTTGCTATAGGGCACATGCTCTCACTGGAGAGACAGAAAGCTAGAAATCACCCTCCCAGGGTGGACGGCCACACCACAATCCCTTCTCCTCTTGAGATCTTAGGCACGCATGCACATGCACTCAGCGTGAATTTCAAGCCACCAGGTCCAGAACTCGAACCATGGTCAGCCACATGGGAGTCCAGTGCATTAACCACTATGCCACCTGCAGGCTGTAGGGAGCAGAGAGACCTGCTGTCAACAGCAGAAAACACCTGGCTTTGCCATACACAAGAACAGCGCTGAGAGCAACCCCAGGCCACGGGCTCCCCAGCAGAGACATCGGACCACACTTCTCCACTTCTGTGTCCTTGTCTTTCCTACGCCCAGCGTTGCTCCCACTCAGGGGTTGCCCCCACCCCCGCTTCTTGGGCTGGGTTTCTTATTCCCAGCTTCATGTTGGGGTGACTTGGGATCCATGGCTCCCTGAATCTCACACACATGTGAGTCAGATCGACACAAGTCCCAGCAAGGGTCAGGACAGCAAACACGCCCCCCCAGGTGTCCAGTCACCACTGGACTCCCACATGGTCAATAGTGGTTCGAGTTCTGGACCCAGAACAGACAATGGCCCCTGCAGTGGAGCACCCCCCAAGAGGGGGCACGTGCTCATCCTTCTGCCTTGTCACCCTTCCCAGATAGCCACCTGGTTGATCCCGACATCCTACGAGTCTGCCGGAATACTGTTAGGGAGCTCACCCTGGCTACCCCGTTAAGAAACTGCCCTCCTTGTCTGCGATCAGGCATCACCATCTGACACCCACGTGTAGCTGCTCATTTGTTTGTTGTCTGTTTCCTCTGCCTTCAAATGTCAGTGTCAGTTTGGTTTTGTTGATGTTGTCTTTTCCTAGTTTGTTTTGAGAGAGATTTTTTTGCCATAGGGTGCAGGTGCTTGCTGTAGAGACAGAGAAGTGAGAAGTCACCCCCAGGGGTGCTGGCCACGCTGCCCCACTTCTCCATTCTCCTCTTGGGATTTGAGCACGTGCACAGACGTGTGAGTTTTAAGCCACGGGGTCCAGAACTCGAACCACTGCCGGCCAGGTGAGAGTCCAGTGCATTAGCCACTATGGCACCTGCTGGCCGCGTTTCTACTTACTTCGTTCCATGCTGTGTCCCAGCACCTAGACGGTGCCAGCAGAAAACTTCAACGCAACTCAGTAGTAACCTTAACGATGACAGGCTTTCGGGCCCCTCACGCCGGGACGGCCAGCACGGCCACTTGCACAAACAGCACTCATGCCTGGTTCTCGCAGGTCCGGGTGCAGCCCCAGCCAGGCTCTGCCCGGTGCAGGCATGTGCTCAGGTGCCCTGCTCTGGGCCCAGTCTTTTCCTGGACGCTCCCTGCCCCCTGTATCCCCAGCAGCCAGGAGTGGCCCGGGCTGCAGATCAGTGCAGGTGGAGCCAGACACCAGGGCTGGACTGCGCAGTCTCACCAAGGCCTGCAGGCTGTCCTCCCACCTTGTCGGTACTGGTAACCTGAGGGACTTGGGGCTTCACAGGGAGCCTTGTGCTTTCGTGCACAGGCTCTAGAAGCAGGCTGCCTAGGTTCTGAGCCCGGCTCGGCCAGAGCTGGCTGTGTGAGCCTGGCCCAACACTGCCTGTGCCTCACCGCGACACCGTGGGCCTGAGCGTGGGCTCTACACCCACCACAGAGGGGCTGTAAGAGCTGGGTGAAGTCCTCACATAAGCACAGCTCAAGCCCAATAAGGGTCACCCAGGGGCGCTGTGCCCCTCCCCCAGGGCTGAACAAGATTCCATCTGAAAAAGCCCAGAGCTGGCAGCAGCGCACCCCGGCGCCCCAGTTCATCCACACGGGAGCGTCTGCTTCTCATCAACCACCGGCCTCCTGGGGGAGTGGGAGAGGGAGTGGGATTTCTGAGGCCCGGAGGCCAGCGGGCCTGGCTATGTCTCATTCCTTCCCCTCCTTCTAGGTGACAGAATTAACGGTGGCACAGAACGCCTCAGGGTCACACTGGCACATCCTGTGAGGCAAAGTCAGCTGCAGGGAGTCGGATGGAGAGGAGTTCGGAAAGGTCACTGCTACCCTAGTATGGAGGGGGCGGCATTTCCTCTGCAAGGATAAAAGGGGACTACCCAGAAGCTGCCGTATTCAAAACAGAAGTCACGTGGTCACAACGAGCCCGCAGGTGGCTCAGATCCGGAACCCGCCGCCCCTGGCCCTCCCCGGGGCATCCGCGGACTTACCGAACAGCAGCGGCTTGAGGCTGAGGGTCCGGATGAAGTGATCCTTGTCGGCGACCAGCTGGACCTTGCGCTCGTGCCCCACCTACGGGAAGGCACAGCGGGCATGGGGCGCCAGGCCGCGCGCCCAGGCAGGGTGCCCGCTGGCCGGAGCGCACTGGGGCCGGGAAGCGGGTGC